TTCAAGGTCCACCATTTCTTACTTCTTTTCAAGTTTCTAAACTTTATAAATCGGCATTTTCCAGCTAATGAAAAGAAAATAGGATTCCACCAAGTCTCTTATCTACCTACTTCAGGACTTCTGTGAGGATCAAATGAGATGAGGCACGGGAAAATGCTTCACAGACATTTGGTTAAAGTGTGAAATGTTTCCACCTGGGCTGAAGAAATTGCAAAGAGGCTAGTCACTAGAAAGAGAAAGCCAGGCGTTGCTACGTGATGTATTTACCTGGAGAGTCAGACACTTAGCATGTTAGCCTTTTATATATAGAGATTATAAAGGTAAGTTAATAATACAATCTGAAATTTTTTAAAATATATTTCTTTATTGATTTCAGAGAGGAAGGGAGAAGGAGAGAGAGATAGAAACATCAATGATGAAAGAGAATCATCAATCGGCTGCCTCCCGCACACCCCCCACTGGGGATCGAGCCTGCAGCCCAGGCATGCGCCCCTGGCTGGAATCGAACCTGGGACCCTTCAGGCCGACACTCTATCCACTGAACCAAGCGGCTAGGGCACAATCTGAAATTTGAATGAAAGAATAAGAAAGCAGACTTCAATTTGTTTACAATGAACAAAACCAAGGTGTCTAACTTTTAAAATTGCTAAAAGAAAATTAAGCATTAAATGAATAAATAATATAAACAATTAACTCACATCTAGTAAGTAAAATATAGAGAAATTATAATACTATCTAGTAATGAAAGAACATAAAGTAAAAACAACAAAGTACTACTTTTAACATAGTACACTAGCATATATATATATATAGAGAGAGAGAGAGAGACAGACAGACAGACAGACAGACATAAAGAGAGACAGAGTGAGACAGAGAGATAGAGAAAGAAAATATTCAACATTGGCAAAGTGAATGGTAAAACTCTTGCAGATTCCTAGTGCAAATTGCTATAATCCTTTTGGAAATAATTTGGTAATATGATTCAAAAAGCATAAAAATGTTCATTCTCTTTTTTAAATCTATCTCTGGGAACCAATCATAAGAAGATAATCCACACAACAATTAAAAATGTAGAGAAGTTATATTTATAAAAATGTTTGTAGCCTCATTGACTATAATGCAAAAAGAATCTAAATATTCGATCATCAAGGGTGATTATATTATGTCATATTAAAAAGAATATTGCCTGCAATTTAAATGTTGGTTATTAAGAATACACAGCAATATAAAATTATTTGATGTTAAGTGAAAAAGAATAAAGAATGAGGTTGCACTCTGATCAAACTTATGCAAAAAACTACACAGGAAGCCACACTAGAAAAAAATACATTAAAAATAATGGCTGAATTAAAGTGACAAAAATATGGGTGATTTTATTTTGCCAATTTTCTGTAATATAATTTTGTTACTTCATTGTGATTAAATGAATAAGATTTCTTTTGAGAACTGTAAAATTGTAACACTACTATTCATTAACATTAGAATTAATAAATCCTCTATTGTTTTGCTCAAGGCTGAAAACAATGAATATAAAATTCTTAAATTTCATTTTCTTTCAAAAACTATTTCCTGGGCTATAGAAATATCAAGCTGAATAAATTTCTGGAGAAGAGCGACACTCTGTGGAGAAACAAAAGATGAAATATAAAGTAATTCACTTCTTATTTCTTTATTTACTTTCCAAATAAAGTTGCCAATCTAAAAACCAGCTCCAAAAGACATAATTAGGAACATGGAAGAATGATAAGGGTTAGTATATAAATCACAGAGTCTACTCTCTCCAGTCTAATAGTGCCTGGATTATGTTTCTGGGAGAATCAGAAAGTATCTGTGAGAAGCCATTTAAGTCAGAATATCAATAATTGTAACATTATTACACAACCTCACAGCATTCACTGATCAACTCGGAACAAAGTCCTTTGCATGATGCCAGTAAGATTTTTCATACACACACACATATACATACACTTACTATTTGAAGATTCTAACTGATTCTTCAAACCAAAAGTCATAAACAAAATACAGATAGAGGTAGTTTTACAGAGGAAATATATTCCTTAAAAGTTAAGAGTAAACCAAATTTATGTTAAAATAGTACATATAGCCCAGCCATATAATATATATATATATATATATATATTTAAAATAGTACATATAAAATTCAGATGCCTTAAAATATAAACAAACATGCTTAATTCCAAGTTTATACTAGAAATCACATTGAAAAGTAGAGAGTTCTTTTTAAAAATCCAACCAATTGAAGGAATAAATGCTCTATTATTTTAGCAATAATTTTCCAATTACGTTTCAAAATACAAAAATTATGATCAAATAAAACATTGTTCTATAAACAATGTTTCCTCTTGGATAGAGACAAGTTGGAGATAAATGTACCCTGCTTACTGCCTGCTTTTATAAATTCAGTTATTTTGTATTGAGATGTAATTAACATATAACATTGCCCTAGGTTTTTTTAAAATATATTTTTATTGATTTCAAAGAGAACAGGAGAGGGAGAGAGAGAGAGAAACATCAATGATGAGAGAGAATCATTGATCATCTGCCTCCTGCATGCCCCACACTGGGGACCAAGCCCACAACCTGAGCATGTGCCCTTGACCGGAATCGAACCCGGAATCCTTCAGTCCGCAGGCCGACACGCTATCCACTGAGCCACACCACCTAGGGCTTGCCCTAGTTTTTGGAGTACTCAGTGTATTTACCTATGACTGTCCCAAATCATTAATAAATATGTCCTTATTAATGACCCAAAGGCTCTGTTCTTAGGACATTCTTAACAACTACACTGTTGTTAATGTATTTATTTAATGTATTTTAAAAACTGATAGGTTTCTACTTCTAAGTTTCATAACTAAATAAATCATATTTGTCATTTCCCTTTAATTATCAATTTTTGTTATACTGCCTTATAAGTATCTAAAGTCCTTAAATATTTCAATAATTTCTTCATGTTTTTCCATTATGTATGGTTTAACCACTTAAATAATGATAAATTAATGAGTATTTGTCATATAAACTTTTCTCCTATACCCAAAAGAAAACTATTCCATAAGGGTTTACTATAATATTGTAAGAATTTATTTAGTGTTTGTATTTTATCATTATTGTTTTGAGTAATTCAAGTATCAAAACTCATATACCTAAGACGTAGAAAAGGAATGGAAATCAATATTTCAAATCTGTTATCATAGAATCAAGGGCAAATAAATCTGGTATAGTCACACTGCCTGGGTTTCGTTCCTAACCCTAGTACTTCTTAGCTACATGATCTTAGGCAAATGATATAATTTTTTGTACCTCAGTTTCTTCATCTGTAAAATGGGAAAAAAATTAAAATCATAGTACACCTACCCCATGGAGTTGTTGGTAGAATTAATTTAACAATATATAAAATACTTAGCACTTTGCCTCTGTAACTGGGAGGGGGTGTTACCACCGTGAACAGAGGGGCAACTGAGTGAGGCAGGTTGGGTCACAAGTTGTAGGAATGCAACTTTGTGTCCACATTGGAGCCTGGAAACTTGTAGGTTCAGTCTGTCCTTTAAAGAGGGCAGAAGGCAAAATGAATCCACTCCCACTGCTGATATATAGAAGTGCAGGCCCAGTATATTAGTTTCCTGTGGTTGCAATAAAAAAGGTAATACTACCACAATTTGTGGCTTAAAACAACAAATGTATCCTCTCAAGAGTTCCAAAGGCTTCAAAAATCTAAAATCAAGGTGTCAGTAAGACCACATTCCTTCCAAAGGTTCTAGGGAGAATCTATTCATTGCTTCTTCCAACACCGGAGGCTGCTGGCATTCTTAGGCCTTCGGTGGCGTCAGGCCACATCACTCCAATCTCCTCCTCCATGTTCATTTCACCTTCTCCTCTGTGTGCCTTCTCTTCAGTCTCAAATTTCCCTCTGCCTTTCCTTATATAAGGACACTTGTCATTGGATTCCAGGCCCATCCACATAATCCAAAATGATCTCTTCATCTCAAGAGTCTTAATCTAATTACATTTACAAAGACCCTTTTCCCACATAAGGTAACATTCAGAGGTTCCGGGAATTGTCTGGACATACCTTTTTAACCTACTAGGCCAGTATTTCCTATCTTCTGTTAATTTTTTTATTGTCTCTGCTTTTTTTTATTTTTCATTAAAAATTTATTATTGAAAATATTGCATATGTCCCCTTTCAATCTTCTGATATTTTAAGCATAGTAGAAAATATGGATTTTTATGAGTAATCTCCCACTATTTAAGTGTTAGCTTAGATATAAAGCTTAACATAGGTTATGAAAAACTAAAAATGCTTATTTTCATTTTCTAGGGAAGTAGTCATATATAGAATGAAGGCATAAAAAGATCACAGTTTACAAGAATAAGTCAGATGCTCAGGTGCTCAAATATCTATTTTTTAAGATATATTTTTATTGATTTCAGAGAGGAAGGGAGAGGGAGAGAGATAGAAACATCAATGATGAGAGAGAATCATTGATCAGCTGTCTCCTGCTTGCTCCCCACTGGCGACCAAACCTGAAACCTGGGCATGTGCCCTGAGCAGGAATCTAACCATGACCTCCTGGTGCTTAGGTCAATATTCAACCACTGAACCACATCAGTTGGGCCCAAATAACTATTAAACAAAGTTGAATGATAAAGGACTGGTCAATTATATGTGACATGGCTATCTTTGTAGAGATTTGAAAACCCATTATCTTTAAGAAACATCAATAGAGTTGATCCCATAGATCAAAAACATTCATACATATCTTTATATTTGCTTTTACAATCACCAAGTAATTTTAGAGTGATATATACTTACACACACACACACACACACACAAACACACACACACACATACACACACACATTATCATGATTATCTATGGGGGATCTGGTCAATTTGGAAGATACATCACTATATCTTTTCTATTAATTTTCTGTCTGAAACATATCATTGTATTACTTCTTCAAAAAATAAATTAGTGCCAAAACCAGTTTGGCTCAGTGGATAGAGCGTCAGCCTGCGGACTGAAGGGTCCCAGGTTCGATTCCGGTCAAGGGCATGTACCTGGCTTGCGGGCACATCCCCAGTAGGAGATGTGCAGGAGGCAGCTGATCGATGTTTCTCTCTCATCGATGTTTCTAACTCTCTATCTCCCTTCCTCTCTGTAAAAACTCAATAAAATATAAAAAATAAATAAATTAGCCCTAGCTCAGTTGATTAGACAGTTGTCCTGATATGACAAGGTTTCAGGTTCTATCCCCCATCAGGGCACATACAAGAAGCAACCAATGAATGCATAAATAAGTGGAACAACAAATCAATGTCTCTCTCTCTCTCTCTAAAATCAATAAATAAGAAATTTTAAATAAATAAAAATAAACTTTTCTTTAAGTCCATAGGTCATATATCTAACACTTGTCCCAGGATACAATATAATTAAACTTACATTTGTAATTCATGGAGCCAATATAAACTTTTTGCCATGGTTCGTCCATCATTAAAATGTGGTGTTGGGGCCCCGTACAGGTTAAACCTATGGAAAGTTGATGGGTTATACTTTCGGTTCTTTGCTTCTCCTGTGAAAAGAAAGGGGAGACTTCTGACTTCTGCAATACAAATAACCTTATCTTGAAGGAAGCACATTATGTTCTCATTGACATTGAAAATGAGAGTGGAACAAAGAATGAAACTGTAACAGTGCAGAGACCTGCACATATTAGGCAACAGATGACAGAAGAGTTCTCCCATGTGAAGTAGGAGACTGGTGGACAAGAGTTCCTTGTGTTAATATTTGGAAAGTAGGCAGCACATGATGAAAAATGCAGACCCAATTAACATTACAGGAATCCTGAAGATTGGGGAGGTTGGGCAATGCTCTGGGGTCCCAGGAGTCCTTCCCATTATGCTAAGATCAGAGAGGTTGGTGTTCTGTACTTGCTTTCACTGAGATTTTGTGACATGAGAACACTGAAACCCTCACAGTTCACTAAAATCATGTATCTCATATTAGAAACATTCAAAGGGTGATTGAGAGCAGAGAACACAACAGGGAGGTCTTTATACTGAAGATCTAATACTGTGGTTTTTTTCTTTTCAAGTCAAAATGTAGCATTAGTTTCTATTTCTAGATTAGAAAGTGAGACTGAAACTAGAGATTAGCTCAAAGGTTAAGATATAATGGAGAGAAGATATTCAGACTCACTAGTAACCGAAATAATGTAAAGAAAAACAATCATGTGAAATTATAATTGGTCTCTCAGTTAAGTAACAATAAAGAAGATTGGCCCTAACCAGTTTGGCTCAGTGGACGGAGCGTTGGCCCAGTTTGATTCCGGTCAAGGACATGTACCTTGGTTGCAGGCTCCTCTCCAGTCCTCCTGGTTGGGGGCTCCTGTAGGAGGCAACCAATCAATGTGTTTCTCTCAGATCGATATTTCTCTCTGTTTCCCCCTCTCTCTTCATCTCTCTCTAAAAATCAATGGGCAAATATCCTTGGGTGAGTATTTAAAAAAAGAAGAAAAAGATTGGCAAGCTCACTATATGGGAAGATGTGGGGAAGTGAAAATTCTCATATTCTGTGGGTGTGAGGGCAAATTGGGGAAGCTATCAGGAGAACAGTTAGGCTTAAGAGTGAAAATTTCAGATGCTCAGAAATATAGGAATGTATCCTAAGGAAATAGATCATAGTCACAAAGATATATAAGCAATATTTTTAATATTGAAAAATATAATATTAAAATGCACATGAAAAGATTTCATACAATGGGAGATAAAGCAAATAGGAAAAAACATATATACAGAGCAAAATACACACATATACTCATATATGAATGAGCAAATACCGCTATGAGAGTATCATCTGTGCAAGATTGGGAACTGTGGGAGATTTTCATTGTGCTTTCTGTATTTCTCTATAGCTTGTAATTTATAAAAGAAATACCTATTACTTCAGTAATGATTTAAATTAAGTGTATTTAAAAGAAGTTGTAGATGTGTACCTATTGAATAGTGTCCTTGACATATTAAGTTAAAAATATGTTTAATGTATATAGCAGGTTCCCCAAAAGCATTGAGAATAAGATCACATTTAACTAAAGATAGCTCAATGAATAGTGGATTAGAAAGATGTTTAATATAAAAACTGTAGTCATCTCTGGTTGAATGGGATTTCAAGGTTACATTTACTTTTTCATCATTTTTTATATTTAAATTATGCACAATATTATGTATTTTTATAATAAAAATATAATTTCGTTATGAAAAAAATAAGAACAATATTTAAAAGATTGGATTTCATGACTTTTCAAGAGGCTAAGGAAACATCCGTAAAAATCAGCAAATGAAGTTCTTCAAAATGTATTTTTTTAATCTGTACTCATTTACCTCCAATTGCTAAATGCATCTAGTAAGATATCTCATTGTAGGCTGTCTATATACATTTATTCAAACAGTTCTTTTTAATACAACTATAAGGCATTAGATTAGATTGTGTGAGAGATGCTAAACTTTTTCCAAAAAGTAAATAAAATATTTTCGCAAGATAGGAAGGAAGGGAAGGAGGAAAAAAGGAAGAGAGGACTAGAGGAAGGAAAGGAAGAAAGGGACGGAGAGAGTCACAAAGTAGAGGGGGTGGAGACAGAGAGAGAAGTCGAGGTTGTGAGAAGGAACATGGTGACCAAGCGGGTGGCAGGAGTGGCTGTCTGAACAGCAAGGAAGAGACAATCTCAAGACTGGGATCCTGTTAGAGAGTGTAGGAACCAGCAGAGACAGGTCATGAAAGAAGAGAATGGCAGATTCCAGAAAATGAGCATAGGATAGAAATCCCAGCTATGAAGAAAGTTTAGAAGGAAGACCATAGACTGGGAGTAAGGTGGTGGAGGAGAAAAAGTAAAGAAATAAAGAAGGAGCAAGGGAGAGAGGTGCCTTGAGCTGCAATCAAGGGAGAGTCTTGCTTCTAGCTAATGGAAGTTGAGTTCATGAATCATTCACAATTCAGCAGCTTTCTCAGGACATATATCTGAGTCTAATTCTCAACCCTCTACCGTATCACAATTCTACTTAACATCAACACATTAACAATTAAGTTGTGTTTTATAGCACTATAAACATCTAATGCCTTTCAGCTGTGCTGTGGAATAATTCCAGTAATAGAGTTACTATTAATCAAAATGACTTAATACTAATACCTATTGACCTTTTACCATATTCCAGGCACTATGCTAAGTCTTTTGCAAGCACTCACTTAATCCTTACAATATTATTATCCCCATTTAAGAGACTAGAATAGATGTTAATAGGACAATTAAAATACCCAAGGTCTAAAAGATGAGCTAGAGTTTGAACCAGATATATCTTATTCAGAAGTTGTTCACTTAACCAATACCCTATCAATATTCCTCATATAAAGCTAAGCACTTAGAATAATCCTGACATTAAAAAAGAACAGTATTTTAAAGCCTAAAAACCACTAAAACAAAATAACACTATCTAGCATTACTCTCTCTTACCTGTCTTTTCGTTTTAATGATACATACATTTCTACATTTTATATACAAAATGTTTAAGGGTGTGTGGTCCCAGCTATGGGGATTTATGACGTTCTTTTTTAAAATGTTATTATTTATTGATCACCCATGATATGCCAGGCTCTTAACTTTATGCACATTATCTCTTTTATTCCTCTTCACAAATCTGAGAGTCCCATATTGTCAGGCCCATTTTATACTGGAGGACACTTACCCACATAATAATCATTGTGAGAAACAACATATAGGTCATGCCCTTCCTCTCCTTCTTTAAATACTTCATGATAGGGTTTCGGTGGATTCACCACATCTCGAGCAGATATATCTAAAGAAAGAATTAATCACATCAGTTTTAAGGTATTTTAAAAATCTACTTATAGCCCTAGCTGGTTTGACTCAGTGGATAGAGTGTCGGCCTGGGGACAGAAGGGTCCCGGATTTGATTTCGGTCAAGGGCACATGCTCGGGGTGTGGGCTCAATCCCCAGTAGGGGATGTGCAAGAGGCAGCCAATCAGTGATTCTCTCTCATCATTGATGTTTCTATCTCTCCCTCTCCCTTCATCTCTGGGGGAAAAAATATATATATATATTTTTCTATTTATATTTAAATTAAGTAGAAGAACAAATGACAAACAAGGTAAGCTGAATGCATAAGACACATGGCTACCCTAGAAGAACACAAAGCCAATAGAAATGAAGATTTATCAAGATAGATGGGACATAGTCCAGATGTTACTGTTCTAGGAACCCTCATTTGACCTGGCTCGCTCCCTAGAAGTCTGAAGAATATCAAAACTCTGTACCAGTTAACCATTTAGGTTGTCCTGAGCCATATTCCAAGCCCAGTTAAATTCCCAATTCTGAGACTCTAGACAATTTTGATTTTAGTTTGCTCCAGACTTCTCATGATGATCTAAGCAAATTTGAATCACAAATCAATTTCAAAAACCCTGATGCCCTGTGGGGGAGCCTTGGTGCAAATTTTGGCAGCTGTAGACTAGAACATACACCCTGAGTCTGTTTAGATTTGAATATCCATCTTCAAAGTAGCCAAAAGTACCAGGGAAATCACTGGAATCCGGAAGAAATCCTTCTTCTTACTGATCCCAAACCTCGAGCTATAATTTGTTTGTTTAGTAGCTGTTTTCTCAGGAGTGGTGGCCCACAATAGTGAATTATTTTGTTTTCATTATTTTACATAATGATTTTAAAATATAATTCCACTTACAATTTTACTCTTTCAACTTAACAACATAGATTACTAATAATAATATATACTAATTATTATAATATCCACTGCCACTGCTCTTGCCAGCCATGAGCCCTACTTCTGACTGAACGGCACTTCTCCTGTGGGAGCGCACTGACCACCAGGGGGCAGCTCCTGCATTGAGTGGTCAGTGAGCATCATAGCAACTGGTTGTCCTGCCCTTTGGTTAATTTGCATATTAGGGTTTTAGTATATAGGATTAATATATAGTTATAATAAATACAAATGTTATGTATTAACTAAGTAGATAATCACTGATATATTTGTCATACAATTAATATTAATATATAATTAATGATATAATAACTATAAAATATAAATCTATTTATAATTTCACTCTTCCCTTTCAACCTAACCACATGTTTTCTTTCTTTTGGACTTTCTGCCAGAACTGAGGTCCGTAAACAAACAGTTAAGAATACCTAGCCAGGTTTGGCTCAGTGGATACAGCATCAGCCTGCAGACCAAAGGGTCCGGGGTTCGATTCTGGTCAAGGGCACATACCTTGATTGCAGGCTCCTCCCTGGCCAGGGCCTGTGTCAGGGCATATGCAGGAGACAACCAATAGATGTGATCTCTCACATTGATGTTTCTCTCTATCTTTCCCTCTCTCTTCCACTCTCCCTAAAAATCAATGGGAAAATATGCTTGGGTGAGGATTAACAACAACAAAAGAATACTAGAAGGTGGTCATACTCAGAATAATACTGAAAAGCAGTACTTTTTTTTTACTAGATGAACCACTATAGTTATTAACACACACATACACATTTTGGAACATGATACGTTTAAGTGAGGTACACCTAGACAGTACTTTCCTTATTAAATGAGCTAGTCCTAGACAGCACTAGCTGTAATACTGTAATGCCGAGCCTACTTAAACACCATTTTTAATTCTATTAAAAAGAAAAAAAGATACTTTATCTGTTCTAAAATACATTTTCCATACTTCAAATTTTAACTTAAGATCTGATACAATAAAATACAACCGCATAGTTTGCATTCTAAGAAAGAGGCATAATTTATATCCAGGGTGGACGTTACTATGTTAAGGAAAATAATCTGATGGACTTTTTGGTGGAAGAAAGTCCTGGAGCAGAACCTTAATTGGTGCAGAAAGACAAAGAGAACTGAATTTCTCTGCAGAACAAAGATGGAATTGAGGTCTCCTGTAAAAACTCTGGAGACAGGGTAGAAACCTGAAAAAGACAGAAGATAAATGTGAGAAACGTGTAAAGAAAGGTGCCTGACAACATGGCAGGAAGCTGGAGCTTCAGAAGAAATAATGGCCAGTGATCAATTCAATTATACGTTGTCGTTTGTTGAAAGATGTGCTCCACTCCCTCTTAAACTGAGAAGACAAGTCTGCTCTATACACTGCCTACGTTTGTTAATATGTGGTAGACACTGGGGATCTGCATGTACAGAAGGGGGCGTCAGCATTTACCAAACTTATTTGTTGCTTGACCTACTTTATGGAAGAGTTTCATAAAGAGTTAAGACATATGAACACATCAGGGGCATTAGTGAAGAAGAAAAAAAACAGCCACAAATGGATGTCCAGGGAGAAGGAATTGCAACCTACACTGCTGGTCCCAATGCCAACTTTCCTGTCTTTTTTTTATATATATAATTATTTATTGGCAGAGAGAGAGAGAGAGAGAGAGAGAGAGAGAGAAGGGAAACATCGATTGGTTGCCTCCCATATGCACACCACACCCAGAACCTGGGCATTTGCCCTGACCCCCCACTTATTTATGCATTCATTGGTTGCTTCTTGCTTCCTGCATGTGCCCTGACTGGGGATCGATCTTGCAACCTTGGTCCTTGGCATATGGGGATGACACTCTAACCAACTGAGATACCCAGCCAGGGCTCTCTTTCCTGTCTTTATATCATACATACTATGCTCACCGAATCTCCACTTCAAAACCTGAACTTTTACTGCCTGGCACACATAAACTCTAAAGATTTGGGGTCTAAGAGTAGCTTTGTTGCTATGATCCCATCTCTCATTCTTTAGTCATCAGTGGCACCACCACCACCACCAAACACCATACCAATGGGATATTTAATTCAATTTTCTGAGAATTTTTTTTGCCACCCCTCCTATCCTTTATTTTATTTACTACCTCTGATGACTGTTGTTCCAAATGTCGTATTGAGTACATCCAGGCCTTTAGGTAATCCTGGTGATTGATCATGAGATTTTCCTAATGGTGCTCGTTGATTACTAAAATATATTGATTCCTTTTTATCTTTAATTTTCTGTTGAAATGTTGTAATAGGCTGTGGGTTTATCAATACATTTGCCTAAAGAAATCATACAAAGCACAGATGTAAGAAAAAAGGAAGCAAAAAATCTAAAAGCTGACACTCTAATCCATAGCTAGAGAGAAGAAAATATGATTGTAGAAAAACAACTCCTCATCACTGCTTTGCTCACTTTCAAAGGAACTGTAACTGTTAGGACTATGAAGCTTAAACATGTCTAAACATGAACTTTCAAAGGGGTTAAAAGGTTTCAATAGGGTTAAAAGACTTATGAGAGGAGCTCCAAGGTTACTTGACTCCAATATTCCAGAAAAATGGAAATGCCAAACAAAAGAAACACATGAATTCAACAAATGTTTTTTTCTGAATCTAGATTGTCCATTCAATGAATGGACATCTCCACTCACTCAATGTATCTACTGGTAAGCACTTTGTAGTACCTCTAGGCAATAATCACCCAGCCTTTGTCGTTCCTTACAAAGCCTGACAGCATTTCTTATTACTGTCAGAATATGGAGTGCAACTTGGCTTTTAATATCTGAGGGGAAGATATCAAGTTTGTAGCTTTAACCATTAATTTTTCCACATTCTTTTGGCTGCTATTTCTTGGAATCTCCCCACCTTACCCCCCAAAAGAAACTATTAGAGAAAGTTCATTTAGAAAGTCACAGAGGTAGAAGTGAGCCATAGAAGAAATGGGCGCAGAGAATAAGAGGCAAAAAGAGGGCCCTTGGAGCTTAGGAAAGAGAAAGGTAAAGGTAATGCACCTGGGGGGAAGAAGGAGGGAAGGGGAAAGACACGAGAGTCGCCAGTTTTGGGTGTGTTTTTTTTTCCAGTGCTCAAGATGTAGGGTGGAAAGGAGAGTGGAACTTTAATACCTCATTTGTGAATTTTCATTTTGGTACGTCAATAGTAATATACAGGGGGAAAAGAAAAAGAAGTTACCGGTAATGAAACTTTAGATCTTATTCCATGTGTCAAATACGGTGCAATTTGAGGATCATTTGCTCTGCCATAAAATACTCTTTCGGCTCCAGCAGGTGGGTATCTGAAGTTGAAAAATTTTTTTGCCTCAGGTGGAGTAATTGGCTACAAACAGTGAGACAAGAAAATAGAATTATTAAATACAGTTTCTAAAATATTAGGACTGATCTGTATCAGAGATTTTCAACCAGTGTGCTACAAGTACTTTTAAAACATGCAATATCTGAATATTTAGTCAGAGGCACTGACCTCTTTTCCCTTACATTATCAAATAAAAAAATGACAACAGCCAACACAACGATAGCCATCTGGTATGACTGAATCAAACTTATACCTATTTTTTTCTCAGGTTAGCAAAGAATATATTTTTTGGTGTGCCACAGAATTTTAGTTATTAGTTTATATGTGCCATTGTTATTGAACCCAGAAAAGCTGTTATTGGACAGCCCTCTGAGTCAGAGGAAGACGGCTGTCCTCTCCTCAGTTTTTATCAATCTTGTAGGAAAGATTTCAAACAAGTGACAGTGGACAGCGGTATTGTAGCATTGAATGTATTAAGGAAGCAAGGCAAGCAAATTTATTAAAAATATACTTGGCATAAAGCACAAGCGAGCACCCAGCTAATATGAGTGTCCTGCCTGGTGGAGGTTTAGGGTTTTATACTTCTCTGTCTATAGGTTTCAAGGTTCCACTGCTGGATATCTTGGGCACAGACTAGATTACTTTGCTGTGGCTTTCCCAGAATTTATGAGAACATCTGGCCATTTTATGTTGGAAAATCCCAAGACTGCTGACTTCCTCGTTCAGCGAGTGATATGAAAATCTCTCTTCTCTCCTTCTCCATGTCCCCCTTCTGCCTTAGCAGTTCCAAGGTGATTTAAGCTATGTATTCTCTTATTAGGGAGGAGAGGTATTAATCACTTGTTCTCAAGTGTCCTTGGTTGGGGGAGATAAGCTCTTGTTGCAAGCTGCCCCTGCAAGCTGCCCAAACTGCTTGGCCTTGTTTAATTTTCTTGTCTCAGTTTCTCTATTCCATTTGTCCTGGCTTACTGGCATGTCTCACCATGAGATGAAAAAGGTTGAAAACTGCTGATCTATACCAATCAATGAACGCCCTTCATTGCATGCGTATAGTAAGCACATGGGGACCTACATCTCCAAATAATAAAATTTCCTGAGATTTGTTTTTTAACGGAAATAAACAATTTATTTTAAAAGTTACATTTAGAGAACAATCAGGAAGTATCCACGTTAGAAAGCACACCATAAGTATTTCCTTTTAAAATAAATGGAATCCCCTCTGTAGCTTTTTATAAAGCTGAAAATCATAGAACTGGAATTTTCACTTCCTTGGATAAAATCTATAGAAGCCCTCAAAATACAATAAAGAGTCCAAATCTAAATCCAATACATTAAGTTTAAACAACTTGCACAAGGAATGTTGAAAGTTGTCTATCTTCTAAAGTTCACATTCAAGGTAAAAATATAAACACAAATGCATATTGAAAATGCTCACCCTTGGAAGTTTTTCAGTCAAGCAGGTTGCAACTCTGTATCCAATCGGAATAACTTTCCCTGCCTAAAAACAAACAAACAAAAAGCCTCATAGTTGATCATTGTGGAGGAAATGGAGGGTGAGAGATGGGAAGGGTGGAGGAGCTTGGGGGTAACATTTCAAAGAATGAAATTTATTTCAAAATTACCTATGCTTCTAATGCTACAAAAGTTACTTTCAGCTACTTAACACAATTGAGGAAAAAAGTAAGAACAAATTGCAAATCTAAAGCAATCTTGATATATAATATAAACATTAAATTCTAAGTATATATGTACATATATATGTGTGTGTGTATATATATATACATGCATACGTTTTTACAGTGCTAGCATTGTAATCCAATCACAGGAGCTCTGTGAAAAGCTAAGGGAATCAACTTTTAGAAATAATCTTGTCAGAGTTCATATCAGTACAATGGGGACATGGCTATATTCAAGCTAAACTCAGGATAAAATGTTAGGTAATTCCAAGTGTGTGGGTGTGTTTGTGTGGGGGTATATTTCCACCAACACCCTAACTTTTGGTATATGCCAACACAGCACCCACAGGCCCAGATCCTTCAGTGAATGTCCACTGTTCACTTGATTCAAATTTGAATTTTATCTTTCTTTCTTTGCCCAAGACAAAGATTCTAACTGTTCATTCCCAGCAATTCACCTCTTATCTATTTCCCTTTTATCATTTCAAGGCAGCCGACAGTTATGTCTTCAATCTCAGTTGGGTGCTCTTTAGGTCTGGTGCAGAGGTCTTGTCCTGGGAATTTTTCCTTTGCCTTTCTTCAGAGCTAGATTGCCCATTCCTCCCATCTACTCCTCCTTTTGGGTTTACTCCCCCATTTCCCTGAAAAAAATTTTTTAGTCATTATAATGCATAAAAAGCCAATTTATGATTCCTTACACCCTTGAAAATGTCTTTATTCTACTCTTACATTGGTTAATAGTATGACTTGGTATGGACTACAAGGTAGGAAATATGTAATTTTCTTCCTGAATTTTTTTAAAAATATATTTTATTGATTTTTTACAGAGAGGAAGGGAGAGGGATAGAGAGTCAGAAACATCCATGAGAGAGAAACATCGGATCAGCTGCCTTCTGCACACCCCCCACTGGGGATGTGCCCGCAACCAAAGTACATGCCCTTGACCAGAACCAAACCTGGGACCTTTCAGTCCGCAGGCTGACACTCTATCCACTGAGCCAAACTGGCTAGGGCTCTTTCTGAATTTTTAAGGCATATGCCAACATCCTTTAAAAGATGGTCTTGCCTGTCTGGTGTGGTTCAGTTGCTTGAGTGTTGTTCTATGCACCAGGCACTTGCATAGAAGGACTTTCAATCCTTTGATTTTCAGACCCAAGCTTTACTATACCTTCTCCCAAAGGCTGAGCTTCTCAGAGACTGTTCCAGGCAAATTGGACCATTTCTGGTGGAAATTACCACCTGATTCCCCTCAAACTTCATTGTTTTCCTGCTCTGCAAAAATCAGTTGCCATACCTCCATCTTCCTATTTTATAATATTTATTGAAATTTCTTAACTGTTGTCTCCTCTTCTGTTTTCTTTTTCCTTGTGGCTTATTGCCTTTATTTATTTTTTAAAATATGTTTGTATTGATTTCAGAGAGGAAGGAAGAGGGAGGAGAGATAAAAACATCAATGATGAGAGAGAATCATTGATCAGCTGCCTCCTGCATGCCCTCCCGCCACATTGGGGATCGAGCCTGCAACCCAGGCATGTGCCCTAACCAGGAATAAAACCATGACCTCCTGGTTGATGTTTAACCACTGAGCAACACCAGCCGGGCTGGTTATTATCTTTAAAAAAACTACTAAAGGCCTCAGAAATCAGGAAATTCTGTAATGACCCCATTCAAATATCACCAGTTGCCTTAATACTGTCCTTTATAGCAAAAAGAGCAAATCCAAGATAATGGATTCTCTGAAAAGCAGACACCAAGATTAGACATGTAAGAGATTTTTTACGGAAAAGAGATTTTTTACGGAAAAGAACTGTGAAAGATAAAGGGGGAGGAGATGGCAGGAGGAGCTTTTAGACCGTGCCATCTATGAAAGTGTTAGGGACAAAAATAGAATATTGGGGACTAGCTATAGTTATAATAAATATTAATCATACCCTGTTAACTGAGATTGCCTTGTTCTGATTAAAGAATGGACATTCTAACCTGGCTGCGAGTTGTATGCCCCCAGGACCTGGGAGTCAACCTTGGACCTGGCAGTCAACCTTGGAATGTTGACCATTCTTGTTCAAGAACTGTCTATTAACACAACAAGATTAACAACCGTGTTGCCCAAACAGTGGAGTCTCTCCCCAGCCCCCATAGCCTACTTCTCCATGTGATCGTCCTACTCAATATAAGCCAGTTGGCTTATGGGGGGCTGCAGAGCAGATTTTTGTGGGTGACCTGCTGCTTTCCCATACTGCTGGCATCATTGGAATAAACGCTCATATATGATTCAACCCTGTCGCTGCTTAATTGGAGCAAGTAGTGACAGGCAGCCTGGACCCCTTGGTTGTCCAGTTGCAAAAGTGTTGTAATGTACTCTGCGAATCAAACAAGGACGCCTCAAGAAGTCCAATTAAAGAGTCACATTTATTGCAAATCCAGGACTATGAGGGGGCATTTCGCTCTCCCAGATCTCATAGTGCCCGCCCCAGCCCCAACACCAGATTTATATAGGCAAAGATCACAAAGGTATTGATTACATCCCAAGGTTTGGAATCTGGAGCCCTCCGACCTTGGGATAATTGTGCTGTCCTTCCCAGGTACAGAAGAATGTGCTTCGATAACCAGTATGAGCACAACCCATGGGATATTCACATTACAATCAATAGGGTATTCAATTGAATGGGATAATTTATATAATTCAGAAAATTAAAATAACTTTTCTATTATTTTAGCAAGAAAATAAGTATAAAAACCAAACAGCAGGGTTAAAGTTAAACTACAGTTTCTACCTGAGATGATTGCTACCATACTTCAAAAGGAGTGAGGGAAGGAAGTATTAAGAAGAAAGAATGTTGGCACAAAGAATTTGGCACAACCAAATGCCCTGGGCAGATACCACAAATCTGTGGTACCAGGACAGATACCACAAATTCCTTCATTGTTATTGTTATCATGTTAATTGTTGACTGTTAACTATTCTTTTGCTTTCTCCTACCTCTCTAATCTATCATCAGAGGATTTCCTGTAACCCACCGACATCTCCTCCTTTGATTGCAATGTATAAAAATAGATGAAAAACCACCATTCTCTGGAGCATTATCCCAATCCATTGAGATTCGGCTTCCTGGCAATTGTCGATAATTTGGCTCAAATAAACTCACAAAAATTCTTGATGTTTTTACCTTAACACTTTCAATAGAACGGTATTTAGAAATCAAGTTCTGTGTTTTGGTGTGCTCATTATTACTAGGTAAACATTGTTTTAGGTCCTCTGAAAAGACAGAATTAGGAAATGTATATATATACACACAGGCCCCCACACACTAGCATCTGTATCAACTCTATACTGTTTAGTTAAATGTGTGTAAATACATAGATATGGATTCTGACATGGACACACAGAGAGACAGATACAGAGACACAGGTATAGGTATAGGTGTAGCATCACTTTCAACCAATACTGCCAATTACTATCCAATTCCTAAGAATTATTTCTATTCTTCTCATATTTGTAGGTTTTTTTTTCTCTATGAGTGAGAACTCTGGTTCCTATTGTCCTCAATATATTTACTTATCTGTTCAGGCCTCTGTATGTAACCCAATTGCCACTGCACGGACCAATTCCTTGCTCAGCCACTTCCTTGCTCAGTTCCTAACCATACCAGTGTCATCTCATGTGACCACCTCCTCACCATTGCCCCATT